AAAGAAAGGAACAAGGAGCCATCAGAGGTGGGAAATCCCAGAGCTTTTGAACGTAGAGGGAATGGGAATCACTGAGACCCTGTGCTGAATGGGGGACAACACAGGACCTTCTAGTTCCCCAGGCAGAGTCTGGATCATTAGGGGAAGAACAAGATCCCAGATGTGCCTCTCCTTTTCTCTTCTGCTTTCTGAATCTCAGCAAAACTAGTGCCAACCTTTCCAGAAAAAGAAACAAGATAAAGGAAGCACAAGCCCCACATAGGAAACTTAAGGGAAATGTGACATACCCAATGTGCAAATTCCACAGACTTAGGCCCTGGACACCATACTTCTCTGTGCTAGGAACACAGTTCCTCCCTTTAAAGAAATGGACCCTGCTCCTACCTCTGCATGGAGACCCAGAGAATCGTTAAGTGTAGTTCATCAGAAATGACGCCATTATAGAATCTCACTCACTGAAGAGCAGCAAAAGCATTCAGTGGAATATATTAACACATGATTAATACTAACCTAATACTAATATGAAAATTATTTATTTACATTTATATTTTATGTTATTTATTTATTTATGACTCAAACCAAAACTGAAATGATAGGAATTTAGGGGTATAATCTGGTTAGTGCCTATGTCTCTTAAATAAACTGGTAGGAAAGAAATCCCTCTTCTACCTAAAAGCAAAAACTTTATATAATTCAGGATAATTTCTGCATTAAACCTTCACCATAGGAGATCATGAAGTATGAGAAGCTGAGTCTAGCCACCTAATTTATAAATGGCAATCTTGTTATTACCACAGATGGTTAAGAATAATTTCCATAGGACATATTTTTTCCAGTAGTAATAGAATAATAAATCAAGAGTTCCAAATGTAATTGAAAATAATGCATGTTAAGTAGGTGATGGGGATTAAGGAGTACACTTGTTTGATGAGCACTATCATTTATACCTAAAACTAATATTACACTGTTAACTAACTGGAATTTAAGTAAAAACTTAAAAAAAAAAAAAAAAAGAGAACGCATGTTTGTCCCCAAAGAAGAAGGGAGAGAGTGTGAGCAGGGTAAGATAGCCAAGCATAGGGAGCACCTAAGTGGGGGTGGGGAGGGTGTCCACATGTGGGGGTGGCTGGTGTGACAGAATGGGTCCCTGCTTTGGCAAGCCAGCTTGGGAGGTGAGGGAGAGGTCACAAATCAAGCAGTTGAGCAGAAGTCAAACTGGTTTTGAGTATCAGAAGCTGTGCAGAGAAAAGCGGGTATCCATTGGGGATGACTTCTGGTTTTGAGTGTCAGGAGCTGTGTGGAGAAAAGGGGGTATCCATGTGGGGCAAGGTGTGGCAGCCAACATGGGAGGCTGGCTACCTAAGAGGAAATAAATAAACTGCCAATAATAGGAATCAGGTTTCTCACTTTCAGAAAAGAGAGTTATAAATACAGAGGGGGAGAAAAGAAGAATGAATCCTGTGTTGGTATTAGAATTGATTGTACTGTTGTGAACCAGTGGTTTTCAAGATATGTAGGTATATAGTTAAATAAATATAAGAATACATATCTATTGTGTGTATATACATACACATACACATTTATTCCCTAGCTCTGTCCACTAAGAATGCTTGAGAACATCAACACCCCAACTTAAATGAGGACATGAAGGCCCAGATCTTGCCTTCTAAATGCCATTCTCCACTGAAAAGAACCAAGACTTCCTAGAGAAACATTTGATTTCTGGGCTGGAGGATAAATCATTTTGTTGAGACTAGAACTGTGTGTTGTGCCAGAAAGCAAGGAAACACGCAAAAAATGATGAGAACAGGTTAAAGGGACACATAAAATTCTACAAAATAGTTAAAGAAGAAGTAACACTAACCCTTCAAACTATTCTAAAAAAGAAACAGTAAAAAAGAACACTGTCCCAACTCATTCCACTAAGGCCAGTATTACTCAAATACACAAACCAGGCAGACATCATAAGAAAACTATAGATTAGTAGTATCCTTTATGAATACCAGCTATAAAAACCCTCAACAAATGAGCAAATCAATCCAGCAACAAATAAAAGGATTATATACTTTAAATACAGAAAGGGAGAGAGCAAAGATAAATCCTGTGGTTGTTGGACGAAAACTGAAAATGGTTTTTGGTTTTTATTCTAAGCTGAAATAGTGGTTTGAACTACTCATGGTTTTGCTGGGGGTTTTCTCGTTTACTTATTTTGAGAGAGAGAGAGAGTGTGTACAAGCACATGCACAAGTGGGGGAGGGGTAGAGAGAGGGAGAGACAGAATCCTAAGCAGGCTCCAAGGTGCAATCACAGAGCCTGACATAGGGATCGATCTCATGAACTGCAAGACCATGACCTGAGCTGAAATCAAGAGTGGAATGCTTAACTGACTGAGCCACCCAGGTACCCCTCATGGTGTTTATTATAAAGATAAGATGCTAAATGAGAAAAAAAAAATGCTCAGATGCGTGCATGTTTGCTGAGAAGGTGTAAACCAAGAACATCCGATAGCAGTCAACTTACCAAGTTTCCAGATCTTGTTTCTAAATTCTATGATCTACTAAAAGGAATCAGGGATCGTTGGAGAAATGGGTGATTCCAGAGCAGGGACAGGACAAATGAAAGATAAGTCCAGAACACACTGTTGTACCAAAAAGTAAGGAAGTGCTCAAAAATTATGGGGACGTGTCAGGACAAATGAACCAGCCAAAAAGGTCTCCCAAGGGCCAAGTCTAGGATAATTGGGGTGTCAAATGAGGATAGTAATGTATGTCATTAAGTAGGATCCCATCCTACTTTATATCACCATAGATAGACAGACAAAGATGAGAAGGGAGCTTCTCACAGAAGAACAGCAACAATTATATTCCAAAAGGAATGATGAAATCTGAAAAATCATCATGTGACAACACAGTTATAATGAATTCAGCTAGAATCATCAACAGATACTAGAAACTAGTGGGTAAAAATATGATGAGGAACAAGGTACTTACAGGTATTTACAGTCTCAAAGTATCTCCTCATGAATAATTACTAATACAATCTTACTAACTTCTGGTAGAGAAACCTGGCAGATACTCTTAAGTGATAAGAATTAGTATCACTAGTAATGCAGCAAATCAACAATGCACATACCCCAGAGGGGTGCAATGAAAAGAACTCTACATCCTTCGTATGGTGTTTCAGCCAAAAGGAAGGACTAAAGAATGTCCCATGTTGAGTACTAAAGAGACAACACACAACCCTGAGATGGGTTCTAAACCCATAAATGACACTATTGGAACAATGAGCAAAGACCTGATTAAGTCTATGGATTAGAAAGTAATCCTGGATCAATGTAATGCCCTGACACTCAGGAAATACACACTAAAGCCTTGAGGATGAAAGGGGATTGTGCCCTACAGCTCCCCCACAATGGTTCAGAAATGCCAACAACTAGAGAACCTAGGTGAACGGTATATGGTAGTATAATGTGTTGTATTTCTATGTACTATTTCTCCAACTTTTGTGTACATTTAAGATTATTTCCAAATAAAATGTTAAAGAAGAAATCCCTTTGACCTCTTTGGTTTTTGTCATAGTTTCTGCAATGATGCTGGCAGCTCCTGGGTCATCCGTCACTGGGATAAATGGTCTAGAAGAAGCTGAGGAAGCAGATGGGGTCACTGCAGAGGGGGTCATGGCATCTTCAGAAGAGATCATCTAGTTTAAAAAGTATACAAGGAAAGGAAAAACTCAGCAACATGGCACACTTCCCACACAATTTCAAAAAGCCTGATCTCAAACCCCTTGGGACATCTGGAATGTCACAGATGTTATAGAGGTTAGCAAGGAGCATACACCACCAGCTCCAGTGGGGTACAGGGCAACCCTGCAAAGTCAAGCACATTCATATTTCCATGAAAACCTATTAATATTCACAATGGTCACATGAAGATTAAAATGAGCTCACAACTCTTCAAGTTGGGTTTTTCCCCAAAATAGCTTTAAGGTGTCAGAACTGCAGATAAAGGACTATGGATTTGCATTTAGCAACTTTTTAAATGAATAAATCTATTTCTACTTAAGCACTAAAAAGATCCTTTTAAATAAAATATTTTCTAATCCAAGCCAAAAATCACAGAAGTAGGCACAAAAGCACTCTGAAATTAGTGGAAGAATGACTTATACTTCTCTAGATACAAAGTAGCTACCATTTCCTTTTTGATCTAATGTTGCTTTATTGCTTTTCTATTTATTTTTACCTCTCCTCTCTTTTCTTGCCATGGATTTGGACTCAGTCTGTCTTCAATATCAATAGCCAGTACACATTCCTCTGCATTCACAGGACTGGCCATAGCAGACACATCAGAAGGAGGTGCCGAGGAGGAGAATGAGGGACACTCCACTGGGGCGATCATGCCAGCCGGCATGAGGGCCCCGACCACCGCATCTCTGTCAGGAGAGAAAGCCAGGCCTGTGGTGAACTGCCCTTTACCACTGCAGGACAGAAGAGTCAGGAGCAGGGACAAGCCCTTACTGAATGATGCCTTCATTTTTATAGGATACACATAAAGGAGTTTTGGGAAACTAATGAGCTAATATTCATCAACTAAAAGCTAAAATGTTTACTTAAGATCTTATTTATCTGAATGACCACAGTGATGACAGGTGAAAAAATATCAAACATAAAAATCAGACAAGAATAAACCCCTGGATTTCCCTGAGAAATCTTCTAGGCTTATTGTTAGAGGCTGAGGATAATTTTTTATTTACTGAGAGCTGTGTACCAAGGGTGCTTCACACAAAGTTGCAAAGACTAAACATCTTCTCAATGACAGAGTTGGACTTTGGTCTGAAATTAATTTTCCTATGTAATTTATTTCTACTCATCAAGTCCATAACCATGACAGATAGGCAACTTATTCAGACTGAGAAAATAGCAGCAAAATGTTGGAAAGATAGTATTATCAAAACTCTGCCTTATCAAGTGTTTGAGTGAAGCAGATGACCAGTGGTCTTAAACATTACTGCATATTCGTATCAATACACATCAATATCATTCCTCAAACAGTAATGCTTAGAGTTTACTCACCATAAAGAATAACAAAATGTTTTTAAGTTTGGATTTCTGATTCCTATTTCATTCCCCATTAAAGAAAGCACGAAGATACCATCATTCACTAAGGGTATATGAACTAAAACTCACAGCATTTAAAGATAACACCACAACAGTCTCCTAGACATGTGATCAAACAAAAATACAGAAACTCAAAGTTTACATAACTACAGGATTTCAAAAGTTAGCCAACAAGCCTACCTGGCATACATGATTTGCAATGCTGTAAGTATATGAGACAAGGCCTGCTGTTTCGCCAGATTCCCATCCAATGACAGAAGAATCTTGGCAAGAGAAGGGCGATTTGGCTTAGAATTATTTGCACCACTGATTTTATTACTGGCAGCAGAAGAATCAGCATCTGAAGGCACACCTGAAAAAGGAAAATAAAGTGTGGGTTCAACTTTAAAGATCAGAGTTTGCTCTATTCCTATTTGACCTTTCAGTTTAGTTATAAAACACACTGTAATCTGCATTTTGCTATTTCATAGATCAGGTATTAGGTTCATTAATGGTCTCCCAGAGTAAAAACAAAAAAAAAACAAACAACCTATTTATCTATACTTCTAAAAACAAGCCATTTTCATCAAAGCTTTGCTATAACTGCAAAAAAAATATGCAGATTTTTGCTAAATGCATTTATTTATTTATTTATTTATTTTTAATTTTTTTTTCAACGTTTTATTTATTTTTGGGACAGAGAGAGACAGAGCATGAACGGGGGAGGGGCAGAGAGAGAGGGAGACACAGAATCGGAAACAGGCTCCAGGCTCCGAGCCATCAGCCCAGAGCCCGACTTGGGGCTCGAACTCACGGACCGTGAGATCGTGACCTGGCTGAAGTCGGACGCTTAACCGACTGCGCCACCCAGGCGCCCTAAATGCATTTATAACATATATATGTGCTATGAAAATACAATAACTGCCTGTATTTACTTACCATTGAAATGCAAAACAAAAAATAATACAAAACAATGGAGAGAAGACAAGATGTTCACCAATAAATAGTCTTACTAGACACATGTTCCGACTCTTCACTGCCCAAAGAGCTCACAGGTCTCAGCCAAGGGAAGGGAACCAGGTGGAGTACAGTGGTCCATGTGCGTAAAGGGGGCAGACCTCAGAGTCAGGGAGGCCAATATAGTCAGAGTTCATAGAACAGAAGCAGAGAGGAGAGAGTTGCCCTGATATTGCTCTGGAGTTGTGCAGGTAACCTCACTCACCCTAGCTGAGGATGCAGCAAAAGGTGATGCATGCCTACATGACAGGAAACTTCCCAAAGTCAAAGAAAGAACTACATGAAAGGACTGGAGGCCCAGTGCACCATCTTGAAGAATACAGAGGGACAAGCATAGCACTTGCTCCCGTCAGCCACACAGGAAGACCCCATGATTCACTGGGCACTAAATAGAGTATTCAGAAGGATCTTGTCTCAGTGGTGGAGAATAACCAGCCCCAGACTAATAAGAGGTCTGAAGCCACTAAACAAATCCAAAACCCAGACCCAAAAGGAACAAAATGTTTCAGAGTAACCTAACTGTATCTAAGCTCAGGAAGACTTACAGACATACAAAAATCTCTAGCAACATCCAAAGTAAAGTTCACAATGTACAGTATCTAACTAAAAGTTACCAGGTAGGCAGGAAGACAGGAAAATACTACCCAATTCATAAATATTAAGAAAAATCAATGGATCTAAATAACCCAGAACTGACACAAATGTCAGAACCAGCAGACATGGAAATTAAAACTCTTATTATACCTATATTATGTATGTTCAAAAGGGGAAAGGGAAATATGAAAGATATAAAAACAAATCAAATTTCTAGAAAGGAAACTACAATGTCTGAGATTAAAATAGTTTGGTGACATAATCAGCACATTAGAAAATGAAAACTAGTGAATTTGAAGACATAGCAATGGAAGCTATGCAAAATGAAACTGAGGAGAAAAAAAAGCAAAAAATGAACAGAGCATCAATTACCTATGGGACAATTTCAAGAGACCTAATACATAGAGAACCAGAGTTCCCAAAAGAGGAGAAAGAGAAAGGTACAGAAAAAACAATTTTTTGAAGAAAAAAAAATCTGAAAAATTTCCAGATTTGATGAAAATTATAAACCCAAAAATCCAAGAAGTACAAGCACAAGATCCATGAAGATAACTGTACCAAGACACATTGTAGTCAAATTGCTCAAAACCAGGGGGATAAAGAGAAAGTCTCAAAACTGTGTGAGAAGAAAGACACATTATGTACAGAGCAACAAAGATAAGAATAACAGCAAATTCCCAATGAAAACAATGCAAGCTAGAAGACACTGGGTCTTCTTTAAAAAACTAAAAGAAAAAACTGTCAACCTATAATTCTATACCCAGCTAAAATAAATTGCAAAAATGAAGCAAAATAATGACTAGTTCAGACATTAAGAGCTGACAGGAAAAATCCCCAGCACATCTACACCATAAAACATAAAAAGGGAAGTCCTTCAAGTAGAAGGAAAATAATGCCAGATGGAAACATGGTTTTCCACAAAGGGATGAAGAACCCTGAAAATGGCAACTACATGAGTAAATACAGAGATTCTTCTCTTATTATTTAAAACATTTGAATTGATAACCTAATGTTTAAAGTAAATTAATTTTAGGGCCACCTGGGTGGCTCAGTCAGTTAAGCGTACAACTTTGGCTCAGGTCATGATCTTGTGGTTAGTGAGTTCAAGTCCTGCTTGACTGTCAAGCTGTGCTGACAGCTCGGAGCCTGGAGCCTGCTTCAGATTCTGTGTCTCCCTCTACCTCTGCCTCTCCCCTGCTCATGCTCTTGTCTCTCTCTCTCTCTCTCTCTCTCTTAAAAATAAAATAAACATAAGAAGATTTTTTTTAATAAAGAAAATTAATTTTAGATGCTGTGATGTTTACAACCTACACAGAAATATGACAACAACAGCACAAAGTCTGTGAGGGAAGCAATAGAATATACTGTTATATAACTCATATACTATATGTGAAATGGTGTAACATCTAAAGATAGACTATAATAAGTTAAAGGTGTATAATATACACTCTAAAACAATCAGTAAAATAGCACAGTATGTTAGCACTCCTAGAAAACAAAGGAGAAAAAATATAAAAGATAATTTAATGGAAGGCAAAAAGAAAACAATGAACAGTGAGGACTGATTAAAAAAAAAACAGGATGATAGATTTAAAACAAATACATTAATCATATTAAATGTAATTGGACTAAACACCCCCAGTTAGAGGTTGTCAGCACAAATTTTAAAAAGCAAAATTCAACTATATGTTGCCTAAAGGGAAGTTTCTTTTAATTTTTTAAAATATTTTGTAATGTTTATTTATTTTGAGAGAGAGAGAAACAGAGCATGAGTGGGGGAGGGGCAGAGAGGGAGACAAAGAATCTGAAGCAGGCTCCAGACTCTAAGCTGTCAGTACAGGGCCCAACATGGGGCTCAAACCCATGAACCATGAGATCATGACCTTAGCCAAAGTTGGATGCTTAACTGACTGAGCCACCCAAGCACCCCAAGGAAACTTCTTTTAATATAAAGACACAATACGTTAAAAGGAAAAGGATGAAAAAGATATAGTATGTCACAGTGCATGGAATAGCATGGTTATATACTATACAGCACGGATCAAAGAAAGCTGGAGTGGCTATATTAATATGGGACAAATTAGATTTTAAAAACAAAAAACTTCAAAGCAAAGGGATAAAAAGGATAACTGACAGAATGATTACAAAGTCAAATAATTAAGGACAGAAACATAAATGGCTCCATATGAAAAGCAGGAAGATCCTAAATCAATGACCTAAGCTTCTAATATAAGAAATTAGAACAAATTAAATCAAAAGAAAAAGAAACAAATTAACAAGATTAGAGCACACATCACTAAAACAGAAAACAGAAAAACAATAGAGAAAAATCAAGGAAACTATAAATTTGTTATTTGAAAAAAATTAGTAAAATTGATAAACCTCTAGACAAACTGGAAAGAGAAGATACAGTCACCAATATAAGGAATGAAAGAAATGGCATTACTACAGATTCCACAAATATTAAAAGGAAAATAAGCCAATACTGCCAATAAATTCAACAACTTACATGAAAGGACAACTTCCATCAAAGACATAAATCTTACTAGAAAAGAAAGAGATAACCTTTGTATCCCTTAAAGGAATTAAATTTGTGGTTAAAAGACAGAAAGAAACCCCACAAAGAAAACACTAGGCCCATATGGCTTCACTAATGAATTCTATTGAAAGAGTACCAATTATACACAAATTTAAAAGGAAAATGAAAAGCAGGGAACATTTACCACTTCATTCTATGAGGTCAGCATTACCCTGACCCTGATACCAAAACCAGACAGAGAGATTATTTGAGAAGTACAGACCACTATCTACCATGAACAAAGAGGAAAAGGTTCTTAAAAAACTTTTTTAGCAAACTGAATCTAACAAAGAATAACCCATAAGTCAAAACAAAGTCTATAAGAGAATTTTTAAAATACATAAAAGTGAATAAGAAAAAACAACATATCAAAATTTGTGAGCTATAGCTAAAAAGCAGTGCTGAAAGGAAAATTTATACTATTAAAAGTTTACATTAGGAAAAATAAAAGGTCTCAAATCAATGAGATGATCAAGAAACTAGACAAAAAATAAACATAAAGCAAGCATAAAGAAAGAACTAATGAAGATGAGGACAGCTAAAAGCAGATAAACAACAGAGAAAAATTTTTAAAACCAAAAAGCTGCAAAACCAAGGGGGGGTTTATCCCAGATATGGAAGACAGACTCAAACACCTGTATGTGAATATTCATGCAGGTTTTATTTGTAATAGCCTAAAACTAGAAATAATCCAAATGTCCTTCAGAGTGCGAATAGTTAAAACATAGAAGAGTACTCAGTGATAAAAAGGAATGGATTACTGAAACATGCAACAACATGGATGACTCTCCAGAGTACTGTGCTGATGGGAAAGGGCAATGTCAAAATGTAACAACATAATGTGACATGAAAAGAGCTGTAAGTTAAACAGACCCACATGGAACCCCTGATTAATATAAATTGGAAAAGATAAGACTACAGTCAAGCCCCAGTTTCATCTATGTCAGAAAAGGAAACAGCATACAGGAAGGCTCAGGATCTTGCCCCAGTTTATACAGCTAATAAATGGTGAAGCCAGAAGACCACATTTCAGATAATTATAAAAGCCGATGATGCTGGAGACTGAATGTCCCCTCATGAGTGACAGAGGAGAAAAAAATACATTTCTATTAGAATAAAGAAAGATAAAGTTGCCTTAAAAAAAATCAATTGTATTTCTATATATTAGAAAGTGCCAACTTGAGTATTTCTAGATAATACACAAGGAACAAAAATAATTTTCAAATGCCACTTATAACAGTATGAACAATATAAAATACTCCGGGATAAATATGACAAAGACTTATAAAGTAAAACTATAAAATATTGCTGAGAAAAATTAAAGACCTCAAAAAATGCAAAGAAATGCTACATCCATGGATTGGAAGATTCAATATTACGAAGATGTCTGAACTGATCCATAGTCAATGCAATCAAAATTCCAAGAAGGCTATTTCATAAAAACTGACAAGCTGATTCTAATACTCAAAACAGCATCTGAGAAAGAACAAAGCTAAAGAATTACCACAGCCCGAATGTGGGTCTTTTATAAAGTTATAGTAATCAAAACAATGTGGTATTAGCATCAAAACACAAAAATAAGTCAATAAAACTGAGCATCCAGAAATAGATCCACACATACACAGACAAATGATTTTTGACAAAGGTGCAAAAGACAATTCAACGGAGAAAGAACAGTTTTTTCAATATATGCAACTGAAACAACTGGGTATTCACACACATGCCTCCAAAACAGAATTTCAATGCACATCTCATACAATATATAAAATTTAACTCAAGATCAAGCATAGACCTAAATATCTACAACTAAAGATCTTACATAACACAGGAAATAAATCTTATGACCTTGAGTACACAAAGGTTTAGATATAACACCCAGAGTATGAACCATTTAAAAAAAATTGGATCAAATAGATTTTATCAAAATTAATAATTTCTGCTCTTTAAAATTGACCTGAAGAGAATGAGAAGATAAGCCATATTTCAAGAAAATATGTGCGAGTCACGTATCTGACAAAAGACTTGGATCCAGAATATATAAAGAACATTCAAAATTCAATCATAAGAAAACAACCTAGTTTTAACTACAGTAAAGATAGGAATAGACACTACAACAAAACATATATTTGTATAGTAAATAAACATGATGCTTAACATCATTAGTCATCAGTGAAATGCAAAGTAAAACCACAATGAGATACCACTACATATCTACACAAATCTAGGCTAAAATTATAAAGACTGACCAAACCAAGTGTAGACAAAAATATGGAGGTGGTATTATTATCACCACAGGTGATAAATAACTAATTACAGTATATCCATAAGTGAAATATTACTCAACAATAAAAAGGAAAGAATTACTGATACATGCAACATGGAAGAATCTCAAAATAATTATGCTGAGTGAAAAAAGTGAGATTTGAAAAGTATATACTGTACGATTCCATTTATATAAAACTCTAAAAAATGCAAATCTATATATAGTGTCAGAAGACAAGTCAGGAGTTGTGGGAGGAAGGGAACTTGAGAAGGGGCACAAAAGATATATCTGTGTTCACTTATCTTGACTCAGTGATGCTTTCACAGGCACAAACATGTCAAAGCTCACAGCAATTACACTTTAAATATGTACAGTTTGTTGATTATACCTGAATAGAGCTGTTGAAAATACCAAGTAGCCCAGCACAGTGCTTACATATGTCAAGCAGTTATTATACAGCACTGTCAGAGTGGACCTGATCATAATATAAGAATCAGCATCAGTACTTCCTTTTAAAATTTTCATTCCAGCATGCAAAAATCAGAGTACCATGATTATTTTGTGATCTTGGTTCAGAATGCAGTTAACACAGTGCTACAACCTCTAATCTGGTGGTCTTATTAAATATTCTATCTAGACTGTTGCTGTACCATACAGAAGGATCTCATACTAAAAACAATTCTGTGTTACCTAAATATGAAGCACCTAAAGGGTCTCTTGCAGTCTGAAAGAGAACAGGCTCGTGGACAGAGGGTGTTGCCACATCAACAGTAGTCCATGCCACACTGTGTGAAGACCCACAAGCCACTCGTGTGATCTTCTGGCCTTCTAAGCCTTGCACAAGTGTGGGCTTTCTATTAACCGTGGTCGTACCATTGCCCTGTTGGCCATGGTCATTATCCCCCCAAGCATAAACCTGTTACAGGGAACAAAAACAGAATTTTTCAACATTTCGAACATTTTCTCTAAAATTACTTCAAAATTCTTTCTAATGACTATCAATAAGTATCTACTTAATATCAATCCAATGAATTCATCTATTTGGCTTTGTTTTAGGAAGCAGGGAGATTCTCCTCTTCAATAAGGTTCAAAGTTATTTTTTTCCTTTATTTTGCAAAGAAAAGTGATCAAAAACAATATTTTCACTTTTCCAGTAATTCACTTCTTGGCTTTACAGAACTAGAAGGAATAATTAATTTTAAGTCATTTTGTTTTAAAAACAGTGTGCTAATTTGTTGTCATAAATGAATTTTTAAAATATAACATTCATGAGCCTGTCATGGAGGAGTAAGACTTGTCATGAATGACTTTATTTCTAAAATGATGTACGTATATCTCTCCATCAGCTATCAAGTTCTAAAGTGAAACACTGCTAACATCTTAGCAGTAGGAGCACCTTCCATGACAATAATCTTTTCTCATTTACAGGTGGATTTTAGAGCAGGAAAACCCACTACTTTGTAATACATGTTAGTCAATAACTCTTTACTGGGTGCCCTGCCCATGCTTACAACTGGACAGATACACACAGGAACAAAATGGGCACAGCCCATTAGTTCTTCATCATTTGATCGTAAGTTACACTTTTGATACAAGGACTTGTCACCTCAGCTTACCTGCCCTGCGTCTGTGACGGCTAGGCAGTGCAGGGCCCCGACGGCCACATGCACAATCTTCTTGCCTCTCAGCCCTTCCACCACCTGCGGCTTCCGCACATGCACATCAGAGCCATGGCCCAACCTGAAGTAATCCCCCTTCCCCCTGCAAGAAAGTCAACAGTGTGCATTTTAATATATGGTTATCATCAGGTAATGTTCCACAGGAAAACACCCATTAAAGCCAACATGTTAACATCAGACTAAGTGCCTAGGGTCTCTGAAATTATGTTATAAAATAGTATATCATTAATTCAAATTAATTCACTAATTCTATAGTAAGATCCTTAACATATATTGTACAACACTTAAGTTACTGATGTAGATTTTATATAAAGAGTTTGAACACATGACAATTTCAAATGCTTCTTAAAAGTCCTCTCAGGTCTAATTCTTCCTCAAGCTGCTGCTGAGTCATAACACTCAAGCAAAGGCCCATCACACTGTCACAAGGTCAGCTGGGTGCCCTACTCCTTTTAAATTTAATAAAATAAGCTTTCACAAGACAGACGTGAACTTTTTCAGGATCAAAGAAATAAAAAATCTGCTTTCTGTCCATTTGATCACTAGGCTTCTGGCATGGTAAGGAAGAAGAAACCCTCTATATAAACTTCATCTAAACAGAAAAGACAAGCTGGGCTAAAAATTCTCTACTGTTCTTTCCCAAATGACCGAGTTACAATGAGAAATTTATTATTATAATATTGTCACTAATCCTAAGTCAAAATAAATAAAAGAACAAAGATGCCTGGATAAGTAAGAAAATGAAGAGTTAACCATCCCTCCAGGGTAGGCATGGGGTACAGGGTCCCACCACTGTCTGCATGGACACAGACACATTGATGGGTGACAGGGAGTTTACGTACCAAGTCCATACCACTCCTGACTTGGTGAGAGCCAAGGAGAACTGAGCTCCACACTCAATCTGGCACACACCCTGTCCATTCAGTCTCTCAATGTTCTGGGGAATGTTACAGCCTTCACTTCCTCCTCGGCCCAATTTTCCAAAGTCACCATCACCCCAGGAAAATACCAAACCTAGGTTCAAAAAATATGTACTTCAGGCCAGCATTCATGATGTTCCTACCCACCCAGAAACATAGAGTCTGGCAGCAGCTCACCTTCATCAGTCAGAGCCAGGGTCTGTGCATCTCTACTTCCACATGCAACCTGGATTACTCTGTGACCAAGAAGGACTTTGACCTACTCAATTACAAATTTAAAAACAGAATCAAGCACAGGCACTGAAAAAACAAGGGAAATTTTTTCCACAGACTGAAAGCCAATAATGAACATGTCTTTATGAACTTTCCTAGACTCGAAGCTTATCTTCTCTTGAAATCAGCAGATGGTAAGTTTTCTGTAAGCAACAAAAATGTGTATAATCACCATTTTGGGCTTCAGTTGTGTTGTATTATCCCCATGTCCCAATCGGCCATACTCTCCAAGGCCCCAGGTGTACAGCTCCCCACTGGATGTGAGGGCTGCGCTGTGCGAGCTGCCACAGGCAATATCTCGGATACGCTTGGTTTTCAGGGCCTCTATAAGCCGTGGCTTGTCACAGTTCCTAAAGCAAGATAAAATAATATTCCCCATAATTGATCAAGTCTTTTTAAAGAAGAAAAAAGGACATCAACACTGATCCACATTTAGTCAAACATCTGTAGATCAACTATCAAACATTAAAACAGATCATGTGAGGCCAAATCACATGCACAGATATTTTTAACAAATAGATATTTTAAGTTCCATTTTCAAAAATGACCTATCCTATTTAATTTTCTGTAAAATAACTACCAAAAGATGTTCACTATTATTATCAGTAACAGTTTTTTACTAGCAAGTAATGAAGAAAATATTCTTACATTCTGCTGAAGTGTCCAAGTTTGCCATCGTCACCTTCACCCCAGGAAAACACCTTCCCATCAACCGTTAAAGCCGTAGCATGCCGGCCACCTGCAACATCCACACAGATATGGGCTGCCAAAGTTGCATTACAAAAAGTTCACAGTGTAATTACTTACTCTGCCTGGCATAGAGTATATGCTCAATGAATATGTGCTGAATAAATGAGTAGATAGGATCAACATTTCAGGGTGACAAATACATAAAGTAAGTGAACTTTTATTAAACTACAAAGTTGAAATCCTAGAAAGAATTTTACTTGCAATGAAGAAGAAAACAGTGCCATTTAATAATGGGGTTCCTGTTATGTTAAATATACAAAAGACCAAAATTCAGATGGAAAAAAAGTAGAAATAAGTACATTTGTGATTAGGCAAATTATCAAATGTACTGGTAATTAAGCTTTAGAAAAATGCACACCAACAGTGAAGTTATTTAAGCAAAACAGTATCATTTACAATTAAGGCACTGTATTCAATCTTCATGCTCATGCTCTTCCCCAATGTGGACCACTGTCCCAGTCCATCCACTCTGCCCCATGATTGAACAGCACTATCTTTACTGGCATTTTCTGTCACCTGTGTACCTGCCAACTCCTGAGATCCCAGTCCCCCACAACATTCATTCTGCCCTATTCTTTACCAACAGAACCCACAGCAAGGAGAGTAACAATACACTCAGCTAAAAAGTATACTTCCCAGACTCCCTTGTCCAGAGAAGATGGTGACAGAGACATGACAGAAGTGAGCAAGGCTTCCTGAAAACTGCTTTAGAGGGAATGAGTGGGCTGGAGGAAACACCTGTCTGTGCTCACCTAGGAGAGCTGCATGGCCATCTATCAAGGATGGACAGAAAGAGCGAGCCTGTGCTTATGCTCCTCGTGGGCACTCAGCTACCATAATGGCCCTGGACCCCGGCCCCAGACTTTTACAGAGGAGAAAAGTAAAATTCTATCCTGCTCATGCCACTACTGTTTGGACTTGCTTTTATATGGGGCTAAACCCAAACCTATTCAGTGCAGGCATGAACTGAGTTTTGTATCTAATTTAGTTCCATTCCTCAGAGGCCTCACACAGTGCTTTGGAATAATTCTCAGTAAAGGTTCTAAATTGAGGGAGTGGGATTTTTTCAGAGGATCTTTCTTATCACTAGGGTTCACAGACACTTTGAAAATCTGAGGAAAGTTATAGGCTCTTTCCTCACAAAGATATTCAAGCTTATATTTAAGCACAGAACATGATGATTTCAAAGATGTCATGAACCAGTGACCACTGCTTCTAGACTGAAAATGCATACCTTGGAGGGTTAGTCCCCACACGCCTGGAATGCCTACAACTACTGGTCTCTAAAAACCCTTGTGTACCAACAATAAATTCTAGACCACCTGGAAATTTATATTATCCAATTTTTATTCTTAACAATTAAGTAAAACTTGAAAAGGAATGCAAGGACGCCCTCAGGAAAAATATTTAAGGGCCATAGTTATTTACAGAGCATGAGCAAAAGGCTTATCTGCATACAAGTGCCAACTCTGGCCTGGTACCTGAATGAACGGCCACCTTCTTGACCACGTAACTGCTAAGAGCTGTAATCTGCCGAGGGATGGGCACAGTCCCACTAGAGATGCCCAGCCCCAGCCGGCCATTTGTGGCTTCTCCACAGGCATATACCTTCCCTTCCACAGTCACTGCAAAGAACAAGAAGGAAGATAGGACTCACTTTTCACAACATAACAACTATGTTTTTAGTGCTAAGCATAATTTAAAAATTTTTTAGTGTAAGAATAATCATACCTGCAAACAAACTTTTAGAACCACCAGCCACCTGTACTACATTCAAAGCAGATAGTGTCTCCGAGAACGAAGGAACTTTTATCTAGAACAGGATTTGTTGTTAAGCAAAAGAAGGAAAAAAACAATTTTATTTACACGTTTAAAATTACATGTAAACTTTGTAATTTGGATGGTTATATTAACCAAAGATGTTCTTTTCTCTAAGAGATTCAGTACAGTATTCTAAAGATGAAATGATATGCTGAGATCTACTTTAAACAGGGGTGGAGGTGTAAAATAAATAAAGACAAAAACCATGACCCTCTACTGTTAACGGTTGAAGCTGGACAGGAACATGAGGGCTCAGGTCCCTATTCTTTCTACCTGCTATGTCTGAACAGCTCCACAATAAAAGGTGAAAAATAAAATATATATAATGTAAAGATGTAACCCAGCATCTGGTAAACATTTTATTTCATGTCACTTCCTGCTCATTCTTATTGATTCTGACATCTCTCAGAAATTATGTGCTTCAATTTCCCATTGGTATGGGTATGACTTAATTTAAAATTCTTAAAGACTTTATCTTTATAATTCCCCAAAATTATCAGATAATCACTACTCCAGCACCAGAAAGAATCTTCATCATAACCATGGAATGCCAAATCTATGCTTCACGTGCAAACTCCAACAAATCCTCTATACAGCCCCACACCATTACAACTGAGACTCCCAGAGCTTACTGCCCCCTGCCCACCTCCAAATGGAGCCTTGGGGCTTTAAAACACAAACTGATTCAAGGATGTTCAAATACAGATGAAAATTTGTTGTATTTGAAAGGGGAGATTTAAAATGAGTTCTAACTTTATCAGCTTCTCAACAATGCAAGTTAATAAGGGATCTTATGCTGGGTGAAGTCTCACAGAATACTGAAAGGCAGAGACACTCATCGGAAGGGAAACTATTTCCAGGCACTAAATTTCGAGTAATTTGTTTTGTGGCTCCTTGGGTAAGAGACACTAAGTAACATAACAGATGCTGAATTCAACCCTAGTTCAAATGCATCATTTGTTGTACCTAGTCTTTAAATGACGTCTTGCTCATCTTTATGCCACTATGGCATTTTTTACACATTATTTTGTTCATGGTTAGCGAAAATGTTTATTGTACTGAAGGCAAAATATAATTACAGTCTATAATTTTCATCTGTTTGTCAAATCTTTCCAAAAGTATATTTTCTAGTTTATAAAACAGCAATAATACCACTACATCTGAAGTGCACTATTTTCTAAGGACAGAGGCTTTAATAGAAACTAAATCTGATAATGTCTGCAAGTTCATATCAAGAACTTCTTTAGAAAAGCCAATTTACACAACAACTTATAGAAGGTAAACCATCATAAAAACCTCCAAAGAGGTCTGATTATTTTTGAGCCTCTCTGGGACAAAGGCACCAGCAAAGATCCTCCTCGATCATGTAATGACAGGTGATGACAGGTGAGTGTCAGGTGAGGAACTTCAGGCAGAGAGGGATACCTTAGAGCCCTTCAGGCCGCCCAGCTGGTCCTTGTCATTCAGTCCCCACACAAACACTTTGGTTCTTATTGTAGCCGCTGATTCCAGCCCTGCAGCCTTCTTTCTAATAAGGCTAACCAAACAAAAAAGACAGAAATAGAAGTCATTTAATATAAAAAAATTTTTTAAACAAAAAGGAAAGCAACCTCAAGCAAGCAAAGTTTGCTGGTTATTATCAGAAACTCTTAAAAGTTTTGTTTTAATACAACAAAACCTCAAGTAAATACACAAGTTAGCATTCCAGAGGGTCAAAATTTCTAGATGCCATCATAATACCTTTCAATACTGTAATTTAACTCTAGCCTTGTTTTTGGCGGAGACCTTTCTATGACACACTATGAAGCTCCCTTTCTTCTTACACATCAAGTTGAACAAAACAACTGTTTTACTGTCTCACAGATATACCCGCCCAATGCCTCAATACACAACTACTACAGATGTTAAATTCAGAGAACACTTAATGATTAAATGGCCTCAGGAATCACCACTGGGCCTGGCATTGTGGCAATGTCCATAAATCTAAATAAACAACTGGTTTATTAAACAATAAACATTTTCCCCCTCAAAGAAGTAATAAAATAGATTTAGCCATATGACTTTTGAGGTACTCTAACACAGATACATGTCCCAAAGCAAAATGTAATTTTTATCCTTCACACCCTCTGCCCTCCACATAGGGCAGCTGGGCTAGAGATCCCCTACCTCCTTGCTCTCCTGAGGGGCCTGCTCTGTACCCCAAGGCTCCTGAAGCAAAGCTCTGGCTACTGGCTCCCACCACCTTGCTCATTAAATCTCCTGACCTGCCCTCAATGGGTTGGAAGTTGAATCAATAAAGTACTCCAGTTCTTGAACTCGAGACCACCAAGTAAATGGGACAGTGTTAGATTTTCTTCATTGTCAGGTAATGCCAGCTACTAAGGAACTGCTTCTTCTGTGTTTAAGGTGTTTGCCTTTTTGTTTGCTTTTGTTCTATTTTTATAAGTGAGGATGGAAAAGTGAAGGCTCGAGACTAGATTCCAGATAAGTAAGATTTTTTTAATACATTATATACTAATGAATATTTACTTTCAGGGATCAAAATATTATGGGTTAGGAATAAAAATGTAGGAAAATTCTTTCATCTGATACCAGGCAAAAGAGAACAAGTAATGTATATTGTAAGTACAGATCTTCCTCCACTTACAATGGTGTTATACCCCAATAAATTCATCATAAATAGAAAATACCATAAGTTGAAATGCATTTTAAAACTGCACCTAACCTATTCAAAAATCATAGCTTAGCCTATCCTACCTTGAACATGCAGAGAACACTTAGTCTACAGTTGGACAAAATAGACAAAGCCTATTTTATAATAAAGTGTTGAGTATCTCATGTAATTTCTTGAATACTGTACTGAAAATGAAAAACAGAATGGTACAGGAACAGAATGGCTATAATAAGTATATTGGTTATTTACCCTTGTGATCACATGGCTGGGAGCTAAGGCTTGCTGCTGCCATCCAGTATTAAAAGAGAGGATTGTACCACATATTGCTAACTTGGGAAAAGATCAAAATTCAAAATTCGAATATGGCTTCTACTGAATGTGTTATCACTTTTGCACTATCGTACAGTTGAAAACTTACAAGTCAAACTACTGTAAATCAGGGACCATGTATCTTTGACATACTTACAACACATTTTAGTCAAAAATATGTATGGGACACCAAGAGTGATATGCAAGATATGAAACAACTGGTACCATGTAATTATCAACCAGCAGGAATGGAGGTCAGTGGGTAGTTAGTGTGGGCAAGGGGAGACTGTCTGGACTACTCATTCACCCTGAAATCGTTAGCTAATTAAGATCTGACAGGAAAAAACATTACATTCAAATACCTAGAATTATTTTGTTAATGTATTCAATTATGTAAAAATTTCATCAATGAGTACAGCTCAAACATTTTTGGTTATCTCATATATATAGTACATGTATTTACATATATGCCCAATTCATTTTCATAGCTACTGAATAAGAATATGCAAATCTATAGATCTTCCTCTTAAAAATCTCAATGATTCATTCAAGGAAACTGGAATTTTCCTTCCTTAATTAACATATATAGATACCACCAATTTGAACCATAACATACAATATGATATATATTCTAGATGAGGTAGTATCATATATACTATTTTCTTTTCAGTTTCAGTGCAAAGGTCCCAATACATGACAGAATCCAAACCCAAGATCACAGAACCCCAGAATAACCTGATTTATTACCACAGTTGCCACCCATTCACAACTAAGAGAATGTGTTTTAATAACAGTGAGAGGCAGAGCTCCTCTGTTTCTAAAAGAAAGACAGCTTACATTGTCTAAAAAACTAAAAAACACTTAGTGAAAAGGGCAGTGCAGAAGAACTCAGCCAGCACTAGGGTACCTGCCTCCTTCTAGTATCCGCAAGGAACAGGTTACACTAGCAGGACAACAGTAACACGTATCAACTGACTTTGTATATCATTTGATTTAGCAATGTACTTTTAGCAATTTCTCCAGGGAAATACAACTTATCTGAGGAAAGTGATTTATCTACGTTGTTTTCTACTGGGACGTGAACAGAGCTCAAACATCTGCCTACACACTCCAGTCCTCCATAAACATCTTAGAATTAAAAAAGCGATGGGAATGCAAGCAGTTGCAGCCACTCTGGAAAACAGTATGGAGGTTCCTCAAAAAACTAAAAATAGAACTACCCTACAACCCAGCAATTGCACTACTAGGAATTTATCCATGGGA